GAGAGAGAGAGAGAGAGAGAGAGAGAGAGAGAGAGAGAGAGAGAGAGAGAGCATTTCGACGTTAAGTTGGGCAATGCCCCGACCAACAGGTGAGTGTCCATCTCCGTGGCTGCTCTCGCGCTACTTCCTCGGACAGGCCAAGCAAGCATCGAATGAATCTTCTGCAAAAACACGGGTAGGTACATGCCCTTTTTCCCTACCTCTTCTTCCCGCTCCCCCGTTTCTCCCCAACTCTGAATCTAACACTCTAACTTCAGTTCTAACAACGCTATCCAACTCGCTCGGCTTGGAATCCCCTGTAACACAATTTCCCCCGCCCATTTTCACCCAAAGACAAGCAAGCTCCGCGTTTTCCCACCTCGCCCGGCTTGCCATCTTCCCTTCGTGCGCATTCAGCGCACCGACTTTCCCTACTAACTCCCAACCTGCTAACTCTATGCCAATTCTAACTTCACATCCCGAGTCGCCTCCCTCCAAGAACCCTATCTCAACCTTCACTTCACCCGATTCTGTGAAGAGTCGGGTATGAGATCACTTTTTTGTTTTCCCGACCATATCCACTCTTCCCCGACATCCTCGCTCGACCGTTTTCTCCTCTCTGTCTCTCTCTACTAACTTACAACTAAATCTACCTACGGATTCGGGGTCGCAGACCCTCAAAACCCCAATCTACAACCTTTCCCCACCCGTTTTCATCAAGAAACGGGTGAGATCAATACTTCCCCCCCCTCACCTCTTCGTCGCTCCCGCGCAACTCATTCTTCTCTCCACTCCCTCTCTACTCACTCTCCTCCTAACCCGACCTCACGAACGGATTCGCCCGGGGCCAAAACCCCGGGATCGCCTCTTTCCTAGTCCGATTCCGACAAGGGTCGGGCGAGTTAAGCTTCTTCTGCTGCGCCACCTCGCTTCCTCCATAGCCCCCTTTCTGCGGATGAAGCCGGTGCAGAAAAGCGCCTGGATTCATTCCCCCTGTTAATCCCTCCTCCGACTTCTTCTCTGTTGTTGCCCGTCGCCCTTCGGTACTGCGCCTCGCCCTTCCGCTCGTTGCTGTGCAGCGCTGCCCACTCGGCCCCGCTGCCTGTTCCAGAATTCGTTTCGACACTACCTCCCCCGCAGGCAATTCGTTCGTTTTCCTTCTGTCTGCTGCTAGCGCAGCTACCTACAATGCCTGATCTCGCAGAGACCGCGAGCAGGAAATTCAGCGCCTCTTGCACCTCCTGTGTTATGAGTGTTGTCTTTGCGCAGGCCCTGCTAATCTTCCCTGTATCGTTCCAATTTTAACGGATGTCCCGAAAGACTCTTCCCAGCGGGAGGCACCTCACGGTGCTGCCAGCGCCTGATCGGGCCCAAAGCAAAGTCAGTTGGGCTCGAGCTCAGGTTTGTAATTTCAACAGTTCTTGGGTGTACCGCTGAGCTAGGCCCATAGGCCCTAGAAGTAACTACGGCCCCGCGTCCCACCCACGACACCGAGCCTCAAGGCACCGAAGCCGCGAAAATAATTTGTAATTGCACTTCAGGCAACCCAGCGAATACAACACACTCCCACGCAACCTCGCCGGACCCGAAACGTAGATTATATACGTTCAACATTACCGGCCCCTTTCCCCTCAAGTGCATTTTACAGACCCAATCCTCGATCGTGCCGCATTTTCTCTGTGGCGACGCGGCAACAAGTGCTCTCGCCCGCATCCTAAACCCACGAACCCGTCGGACGGGGCGCGCACTCAAGGCCCCTTACCGTCGTGACGACCATCAAATCCGGCGTCACGTCGGAATCAAGAAGTCGTCGGAATATATAAAAAAATAATAATAAAAATATGGCACTAGGACACCGCTGATGGCAAAACAAAGGGGAGTAGCCCCACCGGGTCTCCGACCCCCTCAGTCCCCTCGCGCTGCTTTGATGCTCCCATGCCGCCACCACTCAATCTTGATCCTTGAACCTTCTTTATGAAAGTTGGACGTCGTAACCACTAATGCTAGGCCCAAGTCTGGGTTCGGCTCTAACGGACGCCTAAATAAACAGACACCGCGCAACACGCGGGCCTACTGAAAACACTTCAAGGCCCCCTCGTTGTCGATGTCGTCCTCCGCACGCACGCATGAGTCGCCAGTGTGTACCTTGGTCAAGGAGACATAATCCCTCTAATCCCTATTTAATCAGGAGACAGCAAAATTCTGGTCGGCGAACACGCCGACCCTTTAATCATCAATAATTAAAAGATCACGCGTGCCTAAAAAATCCACGCGCCCACACACTCTCTATTCTAGTCAACCATCCAGCCAGCATAAATCACAGACGCATCCGCGTCTAGAGCGGTGTACCCAAACTCTAACCCAGACTATTCTCTGTCACTTGCAAAACCCAGGGCGGATACCCTTGTAAGGGTATTCGCACCGACAACGCGACTCCCTAGATTTGACCGCTGCACCTCCTCGCAATACAACCGCGAGTATCGGTAACCATTGTCATCACTTCCGAGAATGCTTGCCTTTGCGATCTCCTTCCCTTTCCATGCACAACGATACTTCACTTTCACTCCGTGATCGCGGAATAGGTCATTCATGATCTCCACCGGCTTGTAATCCGGCGTGTCTCGCAATTTTGGCTCTATTATCCACGCAACCCATGCGTTGGTGACTTGCCCGTTTAACAGTTTCGCGAGGCCTCCGCATGTGTGCTCATCGATGCCCTTCACAACAAAAACCGGGCCACCGCTTACATGGGACCCATGCAAATGCCACATACACATGACATCATTGCATTTAATCGTGTACCGCTTGTTGTCCGATTTCACAACAACGAACTCGTAGTAGTTTTGGACTGCATGTTGGACCACTGCATTGCGCAAATCTTTCACGGTCGGGAACTTCTGCCCCTCGTAGAGACTTGCTTTCATCTTTTTGCTTGCACCACCATCTTCTTCACTCGGCAAGTCAAATTGAGTGCCCAACTCGTCGTGCTCCTCTCCCGATGACTCTTCTTCTGCTAAAGACCTCTCAGACATCTCTCTCGAACAACCGACTGTGAATTTCATCAATGTTCATTTTGCAGTGGGCATACGGTGCAACACATTCCCGCTATCGAGTTGTTGTTCATCCTCCAATGTGGTGCAAGGTTGACGTGACGAATGCCAACACAAACCTGTTGAGACATTCCAGCCGGTCCGTTTGCTTGCTGCAATTGGCCCAACAATGCGTTGATCGCCACTGCTTGCTGCGTCATTTTACTGAGCAGCGTTTGCATCAAGCCTTTAGACATACCACATGTCACGGTGTTGTCTTCCCCGGTCATCTGTTCCGAGGGCATGTCCCTCGACGGTGTCCCAAACTCAGAACATTTCCTGGTGCCTCGACCAATGACGAGGTGGAATGTCGTGGTCGATCTGGTGTGGGTACACACCTATGTATCACCCGCGATCGGGATCCTGCCCGTGGCCGAATGCGGACATAAAACCCCGAGAATTTTTCCGGGGCCTAAAAATAGGCAAAAAAAAAAATGGGCGTGTAGATTAATAAAAATCTATACACGCCTACGATTTTTAATAATTTTTTGTGACACCTGCTGGAAGGGAAAAACAAAAAAAAATGAAAATGAAAACAAAACAAAAAAAACGGTGATGAATTTGTTTTTCTTCATATTTTTAGTTTGTTGGGCCGGTGGAAAAACACTGCCCCCCCCCCCCACCCACACACATGATCAATCAATCAATCAATCAATCAATCAATCAATCAATCAATCAATCAATCAATCAATCAACGAACGAATTGCAATCAATCATTGACAATCAATCAATCAATTAATCATTGATTGATTGATTGATTGATTGATTAATTGTGTGTGTGTGTGTGTGTGTGTGTGTGTGTGTGTGTGTGTGTGTGTGTGTGTGTGT